AATTTTACGAGGTGATACTGTTAGACCCCAGAGCAAGGATGATGGGAGAGGTATAGAAACTCACCAGGGTAGAAAGCTCTGGATGCCTAGCAAGGGGCAAAAGTGGGAAAACAAGAACCTCACCCGCAGGGTAACCTATCCTCCCCCAGCATATCACTGGTTATGCAGTTTGGACCCCAGATCTTTCGTATCACTGGTCAGACGGTTTAGACCCCTGACCTTTTCCTCCCTAACAATAACATTTAGGCCTCAGTTATATTTCATCTCCAGGCCCAGAAAAGCAGCAAAACCAGACAAGTGGCGCCATGGCTGCCTCAGGACCAGATGCAGTGACTAATGACCTCCTGCCCTGGTGCCAACCAATCAGTGGAGACCAGGACCCTGAAAGAGCACAACTGGAAAGCTGATGAATATTCTATTAAGACACTCCCCTAAGACCTCCCCTAAGATTTCCAGGACAAAGGACCCAGTGCTCGCTCTCCCTCCAAGGAGCATGCCCGTGCCATTCCCCCACGAGCACGTATCCCCTAACCCTCTAAGAGACCCCACACGATTTGCAACCAGGGGAGCAATGGGCAGCGGCAGCTCATCCCTGGCTAAATCCTGAACCTGTCTCCAAGACCCCTTTTTTCTGTGTAGACCTTCCCTTTGGGTATCCTCATCTCCCATACTCTTTTTCTTAATAAATTTAATTTTCTTTAATCACCATCTAAGATGGCTATTTAGCCTTCGCATACACCAGCAACTTTAACCTTTCCCCATTAAAAATTTGATTGCTTTTTTGTGACAAAAAAAGCAACTGCCTTCTATTGCTGTCCATGAAGAAAATCTTCTGCTTCCACTGAAGATTTGAGAGAAGGCAGACATTCTATGTCAAAGATGTTCAAGATCATAAATTTCCAAATTATTTCCTGAATTCTCTTTCATATGTTATAAATTCAGCAGTACTTTGAATATGTAGTAAAGTGAAATAAATAAAAAATGCCCTTGAGAAATGAAATCAGCTGCTGTTTGTTTCTTCTTCAATCAAGTATTCAACAATGCTTTCTTTTCTTCTACTATTAAAAAAGTAAATTCTGTAAAGACTATCTGTATGTTATTAGTAGACCTGTACAGAGTATATAAAATATATTCTAAAGTCAAATAGAAATTATTTTTAGATTATATTTCAGATGGTTTATTTACCTAATTAGTATTCATATAATACCCATTATTCATATAACTAAATGTTGAAATTATATATGCATAATCTTTTATATGTTTATGTCGTCATTTAAAATGTAAAAAATACATCACGCAAAAAAATTTTTTTGCTATTTGGTATTAATTTTATAGTTTAAAAATATTTTAAATACAAAATTATATAACAGTTGCCATGTAGCTCACTCAGCTGATTGTTATAGTAGTCTAAATTATAAAGATAACTTTTGATAGGGTGCTTAGAATTCTTAATAAATTCCTTAAGATGTCAGTCTAGAAATTTTTTTGCCTTTCTTGTCTAAAGTTGGACTACAAGAGAAAAATTCATATTTTAATCAAGTAAATCAAGTTCTTTTTATATCTTACCACTGAATTCCACTACCCCTTATTTTCTTATGCTGGCTTTTTTTTGGCTTACTTTTGGTCTGAGTGTGGGTGCTAAGAATACATTATACACATTATGGCATAAACAAATTTTAAGAGATACTGCTTTCTATCAAACTTCTTCATTTTACTTACCTTGTATATGTCTGACCAATTCTCTATTTTAGCTACAAGGATTTCTAGTCTTCATCTTTTACTAAAACTGTATTAACTCTTGCTCTAAAGTTTCAGATTGCTTATGGAGAGATCATTAGATACTGATATTACAATATAAACAATAAAGAAAACAGATGCAAGGCTAAACTTTTTGTTCCTGAATCATCTACTGCTCTGAATAACTTCGGGAAATGGTGTTTAGCTCTCCTTCAGATTTGCATTCTAATCTCAACATAATCTATGAGTAAAACATAACTGTTTCCTCTTCTACCTTATTGTAAAAACATTTCAACTTATTTAATAGCAGGAATGTAGGTGACTGCATGAGTATAGCAAGCACATATGCATTAGGAAAATAGAAGAAAATCACAAAAAATTGCTTGAAAATCTATGACTACAGTATGTATATTAATGTATACATTTCAATAAATACATTATTTATTGAATAATTAAATAAATAAATTTATTTAATTTATTGTATTAAATAAAATCAATAGTGTAAAGGGAGTAACACAACATTTACACTACTGATAAAATGGCAACTTAAAATTTAACTTGCATTAAGTAGTCTTCTGAATTTCCTCAACTCTAAAATGGGGGCAAAAATACTTTCTTCAAAGATAAAATAATGTAACTGAGTACCTGAACACCATGATGCACTGTGGTGTTATTTTTAAACTATTCAAACTATAAAAGGCAGTGGTGTTACTATATATATATATAAAACTGTAGACTGGCATTTACATTAGACTTTTAGAAGCTATTCTAACCTAAAGTATACAAATGTATTTTAAAGTTTTTATCTATAGTAAATTCATAGTTAATCCACATTTAAAGTACAGCTGTAAACTGAGGATAATTCAATGACCGTTTTGCTTACTTTATGACAGTATCTGCAAGCAGTTAGCATTATATAAATAAAATAAAATTTACTTTATTTAATAACATTCCAGGCTAATGTTCATAATCAAGAACTAAATAATTCTTGTTTATCTATAGTGTACATATAACTTATACCAGTCCTCAATAAATTAATAGGGTGATTATAATTTAACAAAGAAACATATGAAATAGTTCCAGTGTTGACCACAATCTTTTTCCAAAATATATTCAGTTTAATAAATCCATTTCATTCTATTTATATACTAGAGGCCTGTTGCACGAAAAGATTCGTGCAATAGGCCTTCCCTTCCCCTGGCTGCCGGCACCGGTTTTCCTCCGGAACCCGGGACCCAGGCCTTCGCTCTGGCCGGAGCCGCATTTCAGCCTTCGCTGCCCCGGCCGGAGCCGCCTTCAGTCTTCGCTTCGCGCCTACGTATGCAAATTAACCACCATCTTTGTTGGCGGTTAATTTGCATATCTCACTGATTAGCCAATGGGACGCGTAGTGAAGGTACGGTCAATTACATGTTTGTCTATTATTAGATAGGATATTTCAATTAATAAGCAGTGGTAGGATTGTTAAGCAGAGTCTTAGCTACTTAAGGAAAAGTCAATTGGATAGATATTGGCACTAGATAAAATAATTCTTTTGGCAATTCTATAGTTGCTTCAAGATCAAAATAGTGTTAAAACTAAGACACAAAGGTCACAGTGAAATCTTACACTAAAATTACTGAGGCAAAACTGCCAGAAAGATTCCCTGTTGGAGAGCCAGCCTCTCTCCCTTGCTCCCCTTACTGTTTATGGTGACTTCTAAATGTGCAGTGATAGTAATAAAGCTAGCATAGCTGCGGGGAAATAGGAGAATACCAGAAAATATCTTCTTTTGTACAAATACTTTAGATACAAAAGATTGTCATAAAATTCTTGGGTAGTTTTCAAAGTTGAAATACTTAATCTTCAGTTACTAAAAAAGGAATGATGATTATTACCAGTGCTTTACATATATCATTCTTAAAACAACACTGCAAGGTAGGAATTATAATAATTATGCTCACTTTTATAAAAAGGGAAATAGAGAGGTCATATAAATGATTCAAGAGTATAAAACCAAAATGGAGTAGGGCTGAAATTGGACACCAAGTCCATCTAGTTCAAAGTTCATACTTTTTCTACTACCATGGTCTGCTTCAGGGAATAAATATGATAGATGCATGTATAAATTAAAGTTAACTGAAGTTTTCTCCTCATAGAAGTTTTCAAACTTCCATTATACTAGCTACAGAATGCAGTTTATGTTTCAATTTACAAAAGCTATTTTTTTAAGCTGGTATAGAACCCAACATAGACTACATAATATATAAATCTAAATTCTGATTAACCTAAATTTAATGAAAATGCTTTCATAGGGCATGCATGAAATAATCTTTTTGTATCTACTTTCTATCATACCAAGAAGACGTCAAATAAACAAAATTAGGAGGAAAAAGGGGGACAAAATTTCAGATAAAATGTAAAAAAATAAAAAAATATTTTGTATAAAAAATTATAAGAATATAAGAATTAGAAAAATAAATACTTTAAAATAGGATTTTGATAAAGTAAGCATGGTAGTTAAATGGATATTAAAAAACCTCATAAACATAAAAATTGACTCAGGAGAATAATCAAATATCTCTCTGATTAAAAGATAGTTTTAAAGATAAGTTTTACTCTACAAGAAACAGATAATTCCTTTTATACAAATTGATTACACAGCAGAAAAAAGAAGAAAGAAATATAATTTATGATCAAAGACTGACAAAGAAAGATGAAAATTATAGGTTTATCTCATCTATCAACATAGATGAAAAAATTCAATACCAGAAATACTAGCAAATCAAATTCAGTCAGTTGTTTCTTTCTCTGTTTCTCCCCATCCCTTCCACTCTCTCTAAAAATCAATGGAAAATATCCTCAGGTGAGAATTCATAAATACAGTAAGTAATTTTTTTTAGTAAGTTTCTATTTCTTTTGTCAATCAACAATCAGTACGTGTACATTCTTATTTTATTAACTCTCAGTCTTCCTCTATTTTTATATTCTTTCTTTGTTTTCTGTAATTCTCTCAGTATAAAACAAACTGATATATACACAGATATGATTGCATAGAAAAAAAGTGAAACTTGTTACTTGAAGGAATATGTTAAACCAATCTTCCTAACCATATAACCAAATAGACACAAAAATTTTCTGAAATAGTTGCAAGAATAAAATCAAATATTAGAAAATAGCTATGTTAAAAGGACCTAAGTGATATTATTAGGAGCAATAATGATACTACAGTATATTAACTTTAACATACATCTTTTAGAGTTCATAAATCTTCAAATACATACCAGATCTGTTTTTGGAGTATCTGGACACTCCGAGAAATAAGGTGTTGAACTTCTGACTCCACTGTTATCTGAAGTTGGCTTTGGAAGTTGAGCATGCTGTCTGTAAGTAGCACTTTTAGGAGTCCAACAAAACAGGTTGATTGATTCTCGTACACAACGTTCAATGTCAATTTCTAGGTGGAAAATTGAAAAAAAAATTTGGATTGCTATGTTTATTAAAAAACACACACACAACCTTTCCTAACTGCATATATTGACACATGGCTAGGATCATAATTAATCAGAAAAGATTTCAACAAAAAAATAATGTATGCATTAATTAGCATATTTTTGACTGAAATGTTAGGGGGCATTCTGTATTATAAATATACATATTCATATAAATTTACATACATCAATACATGCATATATATCTATGTGTGTTTTATTTGGTATTATCAACATATATACATACATTTACACATATATGTATATTTCAGTATATAATTAATTAAATTCAGTACATTACTAATTAAACATCATAGATATTACATAGTTCTTACTTAAGAATCTGCCTCATTTATTCTGATTATAGTTTTACTTTTCCAAAGTAAATTAGTGGTTGAGGAATTTGGGAGTGGGCAGGCAAAAGATTCAGAAGCTGATTCATTATGACTTCTAGTAAAATGTACTAAAAGTTACATTTCCAATTATTAAAGAAGATATAAAATAATCGGGGAAAAAATTATTATTTATTATTTATTAAAATCTCAATTCAGTACTTCTTTTAAAAATAATTTCTTGAGTTAAGTGCAGAAAGGTTTAAATAAAGATTAAATGAACTTGATTAAAAGAAAAATTTTCATAGATTTCCTTTTCTTTTTCAGATTTGAAATGTAAGCATATTTGAAAGAAGTAATATATATTTCAAACTTGTTACAATGTCAAATTTTGCTGGTATGTTATGATGGCACTGCAGCTCTTTGGGAGGTCACTATCTGATGAAGATTAAACCAGCCCTGTAGAGGGAAAGCGTAGAGATCACAGAGGGGCAGGAGAAATTCAGCAAGTTGACCAGGATGAAGTTTAGCATGGACGAGCTTTTCCCTTTCTGTATTCCTAACATCAGTAAATGGCAGATATTCTCAATTCCTCTGCGAAAGTCCAAATGTGTCAGTTCAGATAGGCAATGTAGAAAAATAGACTATGTGTTTTAAATTACAAAGAGATAAATTCCCAATTTCTCTTTTTGAAATGAGAAACTCATACATATATAAAGGGGAGAAGGAAACAGCCACTTAAGTAAATTCTGTTCATGGTACATGAGCCATGCATTTAGAGTTGTCTGCTGTTTGTAAGGTGGGAAATCCTTGGAGGAAAGGGGGGAATTGCACACTTACTGAGCATCTGTTATGTGCCAGGCATTGTATTCTTTCACTTAGCTCATTTAATTCTTACAATGATTCTAGTAGACAGGTATTGTAACCTTCCTAACTTCTGCTGAAGATGAAGAAACTAAGACATAAGCAAGCTAAGTGACTTACTATGTTAAGTGTGTTATTATAAGTAGAAAATGTCTGAAGCTGTTAAAGGATTATAGGACATATTTTATTTTCCAATTCATTTGGATTTTGAATTGGCCAGCAGGTCTGGGAAGACCAGTTACTCAATTAAGCGCATTCCTGCATCTGTGATTAGTGATGTTTACCAATTTCAGAGTTGGTTACTTCCATGGCTATGCAAAGAGGTCATATTTCATCACTCCATATGCTATTCCTAACATAATATTTTAAAAACCCCACAGTTAACATGTTTTTAGACATGGATCTATTTGAGCAATGGCTCATGCAGTTAAATTTTTTTCCCCCAAAAACCTCTATAACATTATCCTCTTGATATTCTAGAGAAAGAACAGACATCAACTAGATGAAAAATCAAAGTTTGAAATAAGTTTCACTATTCCATTTAAGCAGAGATATGTTCACTTCATTTTAGAAAATTTCCAGTAAATATGGATAAGATGAAAATTTGCAGCTAAAGAGAGAAAACTGTCATCTTAAAAAAGTTAAGCCATTTAACACTGTAATCTCTAAAGGGAAAGAATTTCAGATGACAATGACAGGTTTTACATCTGCACTGCTCAAATGAGTTGACACATTTGCCATTCAGTAAAAGCCCAAGTTAATGGTTCAGGTCAGAGGTTGTAGTTCAGTCCTTAAATCTCTGGCAAAGGAAAAGTCATTTGCACCTGCCTCCAAGACACCCTGTCAACACTGTAAAAAGTTTACAGTGAATCTTCAGTATTTACTGGTGCCCGCCCCCCCCCGCAATTTCACCCCGATTATTAGTACTGATAGATATCCCATTCTCCATTAACTTAACCAAAATATTATGCAATAGTACTTTGTAAACTGTACATTAAATATGCAATTATTCTTAAAAAGTAACCTCTCATTTTAGGACACTGCTGTTTTGCATCTTGCATAATAATTTTGATAGAATGCATTGTGAATAAAGCATGTACACTGGATTATGGTTTCCAGGTTTCATTCCAAGCTCCGTGAAGTACTTTGTGACTCGGACAGAAATAATGTCTCTAAATCTCAGTTTCTTTATCCTCATCCATTACTTCCCTATCTCTCAGAAATACTGAACTATTTTCAGAGTGATAAAACACATCATATTTCACTTGGGTGAGAATAGGTGAAAAAGACATCTCGCCTTGAAGCCGTTTCCTCTAGTTTTAATGGCTATGAACTGTTTCCTAGCACCAGTGAATAGCGTTGCTGCATCTGTTCACAATTATCCAATTCCCTTTGGCTTTCCCCTATATTTGAACCCTAATATTGTTAAGATATTATCTATTTCTTCTGAATTCACTCCATCATTTTGGTGAAACATATTTTCCAGCAGCATTTAAGAAAGGGTGCGTAATATAGTTATTCTGCCCTTGACTAATTATTGGACAAGGCATAGTCTTCTAGAGTTGAACGTGAGTTATAAAAGGCAATGCTCCATTTTCTTGTGAGAAGTCTGATACAATTATGAGTTGAGGTTACTTGTATGTGATTTTCCTCTTTTCTGTATACTTTTAAGATCCCTGGTGTTCTGAAGTGTCATGATATACGTTAAGTGCATACAACTTCATTGTGCTAGGCATTTGATGGTCCTTTTATAATTCTTCAGTTACAGAAAAAACTCTACTTTGATGTCTGTGATAATTCCTTTTTCACTGTTCTCTCTTCTTCTACTAGGAGAATCTTGAACATATTGCATTTCTAATAATTTTGCCTTTTACTTTTACTTTCAGTATGTATTTTTGTTCTACTTTTCTGATTAATTTCCTAAACTTTATCATCAGTCCTTTATTATAAAGGTCATTGAATTTCCAAATCATTATTAATTACCAATAAATATTTTATTTTCTTTGTTAGTTAAAAAAAATTCTGATTTTTCATGGTTATAATGTCTTCTTATAATTATGTTTCTGAGGATATGCCTTATTCAGTTTGTGCTGATTTGTGTCATTTAGTGGAAGGCTTTCCTTATAGTTTTGGTGATCTCTGACAATACATATTTAAAAGAAGAACACTAAAAATCATATTGGGAGTTTTGTGTATGTGGGCAGGGTTTGGTGACTGGTGAATTCACAATAGGGTAAATTGGGGAAATAGTTATTTGTTAGAGGACTTTTAAGTAAGGTATTTCTCCTTCTAGGGACATCTCTCCAGAGAACAATTCTGTGATCTGCCTAAATGAATCCTTGCCAGCATTCTGGGAATTGACCATGGATGGACCTGCAGGTTGAAACTATACATTCCTCATTCCTGCTCTATACTATGCTCTTGACTCCTTGGTCTCAAGACTCTCTGATTCTATTACCCCAAAGAATACCTCACCAAATTTACTGTTACCTTTGGTCATGTTTTTGCAAAAATAAAGATATCTAAACCATAATCAGTGAAGACTGCCATCTTTATTTATACCATTCCCCCTCCATTATGCTTCCTCTTATGTTGGGCAACATTACAGTGGCTGTGGATATAATTAAGAATAAGCTAAATTAGGAATACATTTAGTTTGGTTTTATGTGATATATTTCTATGATTTATTATCACTTTGGGGTATTGAAAAAGACTTTCTCCTTGACCAAACTCTAGCCAGGCTTCTCTATGTCCTTTCTTGACTATGCCTCCACCTTGGCCTATGAAAGACTTGAACAAAACACTAACATAGTTTATAATAGTTCCAGGCCACAACCCTAGGATGACCTTTGCCCCTCTTAAAGTGCCTGCCTGAGAAAAATCAAGGCTGCCAAAAGAATGACTGCTTGTTCCAGCCAACACCTGAAGAGGGGGTCCCTGTCTCCTAGTCTCTGTGAGAAGGTGGAGATCTGACTTCAAAAGTGCCAATTAGCAAACCCAGACAGGCTTCCCATGAACCAATGTCCCCCTTCAAACTTTTTTAATTTTTCACTTCGCTGAATCTTCTGAGTTCTAGTCACTTACCTCCCTATTCCTTCATTTTCCTTTTAAAATGTCCAGTCACTTCTGTACAAATTGAAGTTGAGTTCAATTGAAGGTGAACACCTCCTTATTGCAACAGTATATTATTGACTAAAACCTACCCTTACCACATTAGTATCTTGCTTTGTTTATTTTTGATAGTATAAAGTTATTGTTAGTTCTAGGAATGACTTCCAGCAGTACTTCCGCTACCCACTATACAGAAGCAGAGGTTGTAGTACAAGAAGAATGTGTTCCAGCACCAGATTATGGGTAGGAGAAACACAGTTGCTATGTACACACCCCAAAAGTCAAACTGAGAAGGTCTTTCAGAAATTAAACATACAAACTTATAAGCAGAGAATCTGGTAATCAGCAATGCCTGATCAAAAGAGAAATACATTCTTTCTGAAAGTATACTTGATAATGTTACAGATACAGTTATAAGTATACCATTAACTTCTTTATTTTTTTACTTTTTTGATAGGAATTTTACATAATAGCATTTTTGTGTCCATAGTTAACAACCTGTAGCATTACAAGAAACAGAGACTATACCTGTGTTGTTATATGTTTTATGCATTTCTACTATCAATAAAACAAAAACCAAAAATGCCCTAGCTGGTTTGGCTCAGTGGATAGAGTGTAGGCCTGCAGACTGAAGGGTCCCGGTCCCGGGTTTGATTCCA